TCTTTCCCTCTAAATCTACTTTATCAGTGATTAAATTATCGATCGGAGCGATCTGTCGCGGAAATGTGAAACTATCTCGAACACGAATCCAATAATTTGCAGTAAATTAAAATTATATGACGAAGATCGGTGCATTTTCTTCTGTTAAATGAACTAGAATTGTTTTACTAAGTATTCTTAAATATTTCGGAATGGGACAGAAATGTGTATCCTTTTTGCTTGACACGAGAATAAATGACAACTTCGTCAATCCATACATTTGCTCTTTTCTTCAGGCACCATCCATATTGAAACTGGACGTGATTCCTTTTGTTCCTTTATTACGATGTATTTGAAGTGTAATACATTGACACTAAATAATGTATGATGTACATACATAATTTTGAAACATCATGCGAATGACAATATTGCAGAAAAGGTTTTAAATAAGTATTAGATGCAACCGTCAATATTTATTCACAATTTAACTATATCTCGATTATGTACACTCGTCCCTAGATACAACTCCTCTTACAGTGAAATTAGGAATATTTTTAAACATCTGATCTTGCAATAAATTTATTCGTAGTATTGTCCGTTCGAAAAATGGTGACACTGACTATTTACATCCTTGAGGCTATCTGATTTCGCTGGCACTCTCTTAATCATAGACAGTGTCCGCTATTGTCCAAAACCAGGGACGAATATCATCGGCAGGCTGAGGAGAGACATAGCGAGATAGGATGTGTCAGCATTGGCGAAGTCTTTGAAGTTATTAAGAAACAGAAAACTAACGCCAATATTGCCATATGTCATCCCACTTGATCTTGCTATGGCCCACTGATAATCTTCATTATTTCTTGGTCAATAGCAATCACTGACAATGATCGCTATTGGCCGAAAAGTGACGAAGATTATCGGCTTGCCATAGCGAGACCAAGTGGAATGAGACATGGCAGAATTGGTGTCAGTTCTCTATCTCGTAATAGCTTCAAAGACTGCGCCAATGCTGCCACATCCTATCTCGCTAAGTCTCGCCTCAGCCTGCCGATGATCTTCGTCACTGTTTTCGGTCAATAGCGGTCACTGCCGATGATCCATAGAGTATCAGCGAAGTCAGTCAGCCGCGAGAATGTAAATACTCTATGTCGTCTCTCCTCGAATGAATAATACAAACGGAGGAATTACATAGTCATTGAATTAACAATTAATCGATTTCTGCATTATCTGATAACGGAGTTGATTCTTCAGATTAACCCTAGTCACGATTTTCAAGTAAATACTTGCAATAATCTGATAAAAGAATGTTGATCAATTTCTGATTGAAACATTTTTCTATCTGATCATTGCATGTACTTGAAGAATCGTGACGAAAGGTACGTGGGATACCCTGTATTTATATAAATTTGAAGGATGTGTCTATTAACTCTCTGCTATAGATTCAGAGACAGGTTCTGATGTTTCTGCAGAATGTGGAGATGTTTCTTCAAGTTCGGGAGATGTTTCCGTAGGTTGGGGAGATGTTTCCGAAGGTTGGGGAGATGTTTCCGTAGGTTGGGGAGATTCTTCTGCAGGTTGGGAAGGTTCTTCTGCAGGTTCGGAAGATTCCTCTGCGGATTCAGTGCTTTCCTGTTCAGATTCGGAAGATAAATCTGCAGGTGGTTCGCTAGACGTGGTCGATGGTCTTGGGTGGAATTCTTCACAGTTTGCACGTTCTGGCCAATCGCAAACCCGTAATTCGGAATTGAAGTGAAGTCCTTCACTGCAGGTCATTAGGTGCGCCTGGCCATTAGCGCAGACGTAAAAGGTTGAACAATCGGATGGATTCCGAAGTAGAATGACATCTTCGACCTGCCTCGTGGGGCATTTAGGAGTGGCGGCAACGAAGGTGACGAAGAGTGTCGCCAAAACTACTGCAAACATTGCTGAAAGGAAGCAAACGATCTCGTTGAACAGCCAATCCTGTAGTTTATCGCACCATATTAATTTGAAAACGTCTAAACCATCTAGATATTTTGCAAAGCGTCTTGGTACTTTACTCGAGTTTATTATGCAAGTATACTCGTTATAATTATTAACATTCTTCTACCTTATAATTATTAACATTCTGCATCACAGGTAATATCGAATATCTCGTATGTACATGCAACCAAATGGTAGTAAGTACACAGTTGACGAATTAGCTAATTATCAAAGTTGAAATAACACTTCCTTTGATGAATTTAAGTCATTACGACGTATGCTACATTAAGGTTTATTGGATATACAAATTTTTATTTTATTACTGTTTTCACATGTTGCAGAAAATGTTAAATTATATTAAATATTAAATAAACAATCTTGAAAGTATATATACATTCTCAAATCTTTAGTATTTACGATAAGGTCTTCTACAATATAAAATTATCTTTATTTCGACTTATGTTGTAATTAATTCTACGAATGATCTATATGCACGACTATGTTCTTTCCCATACCAAATTCATCCAGTAAAAAGGATGACATGCATGTATGCATATGTAGAATCAACGATATGGAAGAATCGAGGGATACCGTATCTTTGTTGCATGTCTCACTTGACATTCGAAAATTATGATTCGTTTTTAATATGTAAAATCTGAACTCACATTTCATCTTGACTTGTTGTAATACCAGCTACGAACTTGTAGTTCCTTCTTGCACAACGTATCTTCTAGTACAACGTATACTCTGATACTATGATCGCATCAATTGTATCTTTTTCTTTATATATTCTTGTCAAATTCTTTTAATAGGCTATCGATTCGTGTTGCAATCATTTATCAGTACTAGTATCTCCCGATTAGATTCCCTAAGAATCGGGGATTCTTACGTTAACGGGTATAAATGACAATTCAGAGATAGCTTGTTCTTTGTGTCTTGACAATATATTTACACCCATGTACAAACTTCTACGAATGAACTCTAATCTAATGCAATACTAATAATGCGAGTAATAAAATTCACAACGTCGATCTGCGAAACTTGATAAAGTAATTGCAATAATCGCTATTGATGTAGTATTCAATGTACTCTTTGTGTCTTGACGATATACTTGCACCGATGTATAAACTTCTACGAACAAACGCTAATCTAATGCAATACTAATAATGCGAGTAATAAAGATCACAACGTCGATCTGCGAAACTTGATAAAGTAATTGCAATAATCGCTAATCAAGTAGTATTCTACGTACTGCGTTATTTATTCCTTGTCACTCAATAATCAATATCCCTTTTCGATATCATCTTTCCTACCTCGACACAAATGACGTAATAATATAAATTAACTTCTTGAAAGATAATTTTAACACTCTAATAAGTCATTTTACTAATTGTAAATAGAAACTTCGGCATAGCTTCCTGATTTGAAATAATATTCTAATTGGTCAATAGATGGATTGGTCTTCCAGAAAGACCTGGAAGTTAAATGTACAGGAAGCAGAGGTATTCCGAAGACTTTCTCGCAAGTCCTCAAACCTCCTTGAAATTGGGATCCATCTAATAGCGAAGATGAGAATGATGATCGCTACACTAGTAAATAAAATTACTTTATTATAGTAAATAAAACTAAATAAAATGCAATAAAGAAGCTATAAAAATCTTTTTCTCCATTATTCCATAGTATTTAAAAAAAAAAAAAATAGTCGGATGCTTAATTTAGAACATCTGAACGTTGAAATTAGGATCTTCTTAGATTGTCACGTTGCGATTGCACTCAGAGCGAATTTCAAGAGATTGTAAATCCATTTTGCGTCTCAAATTAATATTCAACAATTGTCTCAAAGGCGTTCCGTCGTGCTACCTTTGGTTGACAGTCCAGGATGCGTGGATTGTCTCAGAGCAGTTCGTGATGGTCGACAGATTTAGCGAACGATAGACAGGTGCTACCAAGACGGTTGGTTCTCTGGGACGTTAGAGACCGATTCGATGAACTCGAAATGTCACGACTATTTGCGGAAGGAGTCAAAGACTGACTGACTAAAGGTCAAGACTGTAGTGTCGCGACTGCTAGCTACCGAATGTCAAAAGGACTCACGGATTGAGGGAAAGTCAAAGGACCGACTGACGTCACGACTGCTGACGACTGTAAGCCGAAGACTGAAGTCAAAAGACTGACTCCACGTTTTCTCTCGCGTCTATTCGAAGAAAAATTAGGAGTTACTGAAAGACGAACGTTCCCTAATTAGCAGATGATTGGACCAAGGGTGTTCCGGTAATTCTGAAGAAGGATGTGATCCTATCCTTCAAGTGAAATCGGTGGTAAAGGATCGCATAGTCGTCACTTCCCGTTTATGGCTCCTACAAATGCTCAGGCTTAGGGGAATCAACGCACATCTTATCTCGACCCCAGTATGCCTATTGTCAGCCAAATCCTGAGTGCTGTCACACAATTTCGTTAAAATTAGATACCAAATTGAATCTCGTGACATGGGAAGCAATAAAAAGAAGTTACCTAAGAATTCCGAAGTTGTGAAATAGAAAATTCCAAAAGTCGGATGATTTTAGCACTTAGGACCTGTTAGAGGACCGTAACGGGGTCTTTTAGGCCTGAACAGTGGTATATAATCTTCGTAATAGCGAACAGAACTCTAATATCCATCAAATACCGTTATTAATAATTTTAAGGAAATTTTTGAGAAAATTTCGTTTATTAGAGAAATTAGTCAAGGAATATCTTTATATGCTTAATATAAATTTTATCTCTCGCTACTTTGTGGATCACGGATTACCGATGATCCATTCTGCACGAAGCCTGCTAATAACATAGAAGCTTCTCCATAGTTAAGCTTTTATGGGGCTGTCGCTATTTTTATTTCTTCTTTTTTCTTCAGCGATTAAAGTTCCAACAGGAAATAAAGCGAATGGAAATCTATGCTTTTAGTTCCGCTAATATCATCAGAGAAATATTATCTCACGAATTGCTGAAGTCCTCGTGCTGAATAGCAGCACAAACATAACCTCATTTAACCTATTTACTCGTATAGAGGTTATTTCACGCAACTGGACAAAGCTATATCTTTGAAACGATCGGTGATAGGGGAAAGTTCCAGTGGACAAAATTAAATGGCGTCGCACGAGCCATATTGAAGTTAAACTAATCAACCCTATCAAGATAAATCGTTTTGTTTCTGAAAAATTTAAATACTCGTCTCCAACTCTGATACTAATCCTGAGAAATCTGCAAAGAGCGATATCGTTTTATTTGACTTGTTCCGCACGCTTTATTTCTCGTATATTTTCGCATACGTTATTTTCATGCACAATGTGCACTTTCCTGAGATGAAACTTTATATCGTATTAATGAACAACACATCGAGTAGTGAAATTGATCGCTTCTTATTCCTACGAAACGTTATTCGATACAAGTACTCGTGGCCTAATATATTCTGCAATCACATATCTGTATATTATAAATCATATTTTTGTGAATCATGTTTCAAGGGATACACCCTCACATAAGATTATTTTTATAAAATATGTAGGAACGCATCCCTAGTGATGAAGAAGAAAACCATTTTTCCTCTCGTAGCGACGTCAAGGGTCCCGAGTCAATGAGGGTCTGCTATACGACCAATCCCCATGACTCGCGGTCACGTGGACCACAACGCGTGGGCCAGAGCTGGCAAAGTTCAGACAGTTCGTTGGCGACCTGAGTGCGATACAGACCATTTTCTTAAAAACGATACAGTTTTCTTGGCACCAACTCCCCTCGTGCATAATAAACTTTGACGAAATCTGACATAGTACTTTCCGCTTATTTAATTCCTCACGATATCCCTTCACATATGTTCCCTATATGTGCACAGTAGGAGCTCAGTTGTATAATCTAATTGGGGGATAAAAATGTTCACGTAACAGAATGCTTAAAATAAAATGAAATAAAGGAAAAGGCAGGAATAATAATAAAATCAACGTGAATAGGTTTCATTCTTCTCAAGGAAGAGAATAAAGACATCTTGCTCCACTAAGTACCATAAATCCGTTAAGCCTTAAATCCATCCTTTTATTACTCTCCATATTCAAACACTTTACATTAATGGCAGTGAAACGAATTGCGATCGGTATAACAATTCAAAACAGATATTATCGTATTTATTCCCGATCCAAAATGTTTAACACGTCAAACGCCACGCCAGTTTTACGTGCCGTTCCGTTCACGCCATAGTTAGTCGTCACGTGGGCCCTTCTGGGCCATACTGATCGAGAGGCCTGGGCGGAAGGTCTAGCGTCGATTCCTAGGGACCGGCATGGCATTTGACGTGTTAACACGCTCGTTTTGCTTGCCGTTCCATTCAGGCCCAGACTCGACCGTCAAGTGGGCGAAATGTTCATAAAACTCGGAGATATTTTACCAATTGTTATAACAGGAATTCCCAAACGTTAGGTCTAAAGATGACGAAGAATTTAGCACCAAAAGTGTAATAGGAATCCAAAGTCTGCGGCCGGTCCCTGGGGACCGACATGGCGTTCAACGTATTAAACAAAAGACGATACACTATAGAAAAGTTAAACTAAAGACACAGCCGATTTGCAGCAGTTCTGTTAGATTTATTAATAATCTGCAATACTCAATACATAGAAGCATAATAATCCGTAATATTGATAATACATAATGACATAAGATGTCTTGTTACGTACACAACTTCAAAAGGTTGAGCGATATTCTGCAAGAAAAATATTAAATAAGCACGTGCTCTATGCTGAATACTAATTGTTCAACGATCTCTCGGTTCTGCACACTTGTTCCAAGACACCCGGTATAATTGGGATCTCAATAAGTTGTGTCATATAACGAAACCAGGGTTACTTTTCAACGTATGTGCCTGCAGTAGGTTATCCACATAAATCGAAATTGATATGGACGAACCAATTATTCAGCTCCTGCTGTTGAGACATCACTGCTACAGCCTGATGGTACAACAGATGGACGAGGCGAGCTGGATGGTGGCCGAGTTCCCGTGGTTTGTGGTCCAGACGTGTTGGGTGGTTGTGGATGAGGAGAAGATGGACTTGCCGCACATTTCACATTTTCTGGATAATCGCAAACTCGTAAGTCTTCATTATACAGAAGTCCTTCGTTGCATTGCATTAAGAACGGTATGCCTCCGTTGCAGGAGTAATAGGTTGAGCAGTTATGTGGGTTTGGCAACAGAACGACATCTTCTCCGTTCTCTTCCGGACACTTGGGTGGCGGATGGGCGGAAACGAAGACGACGAAGATCGTGGCCAAAACAATCGCAAATGCCGCTGAAAAGGTGAAAAATCAAACATCAAACGATCTTGTCAGATATCACGGCACTTGCAATCTTACTGGATCAGATTAACCCTTTCGCTGCGACAGCGCCTTTAGGCGCTCAGCCACAGTTGCTCCCTCCTACAGCGCCTGTAAGCGCTCTTCCAGACTAGCTCTCTTCAAGCGAACAGCGTCTTTAAACTCTGTGCATTTGTTATTAGTAACTGCCCAATAATGCCCATTAAATCGTTTGTTTTCGACGCGTTAGCAGCATACATTTCTTGTGCAGAGATTTTTTCACATAATCAAATATAATTCTCTGCGCAGTCGATCTCCCACTGTCACGCTGGCTGGCCAGAGAGTAATTCATTTCTGAGCGAAAGGGTTAATCTAAAAATCTTAGAAGCATCCAAACAAAATGGCGAACGCAACAGGTCTTCCAAAGATATTTATCAACCCCTTCGTCGTTCTGCGCGTATTACGAGTAACGTCGAATATCTCGTATATGCAAAGCAAATGATGTCGAGTGTACAGTTGGCGAACAAGGTAATTAGCAAAGTTAAAACGACGAAGCTGTTGTTTATGAAGTTTATTATGATGTACGGTGCACTACAGTTTACCGTGTAAACAAATTTTCGTCAGCTTCGCGGAGATATTCTATGATATTCTACTACTCTACTAGAATATTACTAGAATAGACTCTAATCTACTAAATATTCTACTATTCTCTAAATGTTGCAGGAAATATTCGAAGCAACTCAAATATGACATAATCATGAAAAAGATCCTTATATACGTGTGCACACGTAGAGTCACAAGTGCGGATAAAAGTAGAGGGAAAAACTGAAACCTTCGAGTTACTGGAGTTTCGATTTATCGAGATTTTTGGATTAAAAAGGGGAGTGTAAAAATCGAAAATTCGATGTACATAGCTTATACGCTTCTAGTAATAGCCAGTAGAATATAATAGAAGTTCAATTTACAGAAGTATGAACATTTCGATTTGCAGAGCTTTGTCTATCCCAAATTCGAATTTAATAAAAGCTAGCTTTATTCCGATTTATAAAAATTGTTTAATTATAGAGGTTCTAAATATCGAGGTTGGACGAAGGATTTAACTCTTTGCGGCATCGGATTTCAGATAATAAAATTGACCCATGTTGCACGGAAATTTTATTGCGTTTTAAATGAAACAAAATTGGTATATTTTTACTAATAAAGGAATCGCATAATGTAAAATCATAAAACCAGGAAAAAGGATTGTCGCAATAAACCTTCTGCTTGCAACAATCGATGAACCTGTACTGGCATGTTGAATGTTGCCAACACGAGCTAATACATTTATAACATTTGTCGAAGGTATTACCAACTGCTTTACGTATATAAGACGAAATATAAACCTATGCGCATGCAGCTATTGCAATATTTCGAGGTGGGACTGAAAATGTCCCACCATACATTACGATGCATCAAATAGGTGGGACACTTTTAATCCCAGCGTGCCCCAAAGAGTTAAAGAGAAAACATGTATCTCTGTTACATGTTTCGTTAGACAACGCAAGAAATCGTAATGCAAATGGCTTTCACCGAATAAAAATTCAACTTACATTTCATCGTGGCTTCTTGGAACGTGGATTTCTCACTTGTAATCCTCGTGGTGGTCGAACAACTGATTGTTTGTCGATTGTATCCTCTTTATATATTCTCCAGAATTTTTTTCAGCAAGATATCGGTATATACTCTAATCATTTATCATTCTTAACATCTCTTGATATGTTGAACGGTAACTAGTTACATACTCCTATGTAACTAGTTACATAGTTGAAGTATCCTTTATCTTGTTTACTTCTCTTAATATAGAATGATTTCTTTCTTACGAGTAAGAAACGTTAATTAAATGTCAATGATTAACGTTACCCCATTTTCTATTTGACAAACTCAATGTACAGGTCATCTGGATGATTCGTTGATTTTAAATGATTTTAAACTTGCTTCGTTTCGATGATCTGAAATTTCCTTGTAAATGAAGATTGACATAAAAGTCGCTTCCGATTTTTCAAACGCAATGTCAAAGTTTTTGATTTATATTTTAATAGTCATTCGGTGTCACTCCAAATCGGTTATAGTGAAATTTAAATTGTTTCAAAGCACTCTTCTGAGATAAATATTTCATGTGTTTATGTACGATATTAAAATTGAAAGTATACTATTCATATACTGTTCAATAGTATAGTCAGATAACAGAATGTTTACATAACGGGTGTTTCGTTATAAATAAATTCGTCATGAATGACAATCACTTCTATTTTTTCTAATTTTCAAAATTGGATATTTGTTTCTTTATGTGTGCTTTTGTTTACGTCAGAGCACCGAGATCGCGAATTTTACCTATACCATTTCGCTGTTTACGGGTACGTACCTGTGGAAATATGTCACAAGGTGTACCTAGGATAATACGTGTTTCAATATTACCCAGGAAAATGGAAAACCATGGAGAACACTTTAAACTCCGCGGGATACGAACTCATAATGAAAATCGTAGGACGATCCTACACCATTTTTCACTGCACGTCGTCTCCCTAGTTTTCGAGAAAAAGATATTCCGTAGTTTATAACGTAACTGAGACAAATGTACCCGCACAACAATATTCTGTGAGGAAAATAATAAATGAATAGTATTGCTGGTCGGTAAATGAATAAATAAGCATGTACAATCACTCGTGAAAGTTATATTCGAAAATTTTGAATTCCGAATTTTTTATTAATCTATAAAAAAAATATAAAGCAATAAAAAATATCAAATGAAATACACGAATGAAGTATAATGTCGAATAGAAATTAGTATTGAACCACGAAAATCCCAAATTTCTTTTGACATTAAGGAGCTCCTTGATAAGAGAGTATTTCTAAAATAAGTCCTTTTTCGATTATTGCATATTTATAATCCATTGTTTATTATTTATTACAATATTTATATATAGTATTATTTATAAACAGAATCGTTGTATCATATATATTATTATTGTTCATTTATTTATTATATAATTTATTATATTATTTCTTAGTTATTAATCCTTATTATAGCCTTAATCTAAATTACTAATTAAATTTATGCAATAAGTTTTTATCGACATCGCGATTTTAGAAATGAAAATACGTTTCAACTTTGAAAATTTATATTTTTATTTTGACCCTTTGCATTCGAAGAATTTTTCGTTGTAAAGGAATAGCGATTCGAAGCTTTCCTTGCCCCTTTATAAGCTCACTGATACTTTTAATACTGAAATGAAAAAAGAAAATCATGCATCTGCATAAAAAACGAACGAATAGAATTATTTTATTTCAATATTTCATGTGCAGTTATTTTTAATATAATTATCGGCTCTTACTCGATATTTAAGTTATAACATTAAGACAAATGGCAGTTGAGTGCAAAGGGTTAATAAGAGAATTAAAATTAATTGATACTAATATTATTTTTAAAAATTTTGTATGTCCCAAAATTCTCTCAATTTATGTAATACAGGTCTTTCGATCATATTTTCGAAACTATACCGAATATGTACGTGCATGTACTAATATATGTGATATAGTGCGGTGTGTACATATCTTTCTCATGGAATAACGAAGAGAACCTCGAACGAAACGCAAGTCGGTCGCGATGGATAACTCTATTAACAAACGAAACCATACACCACAAGTAATTTCATTTTGAATCAATACCGAAGAAATAATCAATCAATTCTCCCTTGTTTCTTCATTTATTTATCTCTGTTGTTTTTAAACGAGTAGACACATGAGCAGAGTTTACGTAAACAGTCGGTGGAGAACTGTCCGCGTATAAATTACTTCGGTCACTATTTATTTAGCGATTGAAATTTAATTTAAAACTCACGAGGTATTAAATTATCGAGGTAGCAAAGTGCGAAAAAATTAGGTTGATCGTTTACCATGCGATATTTATAATAGTTCGTTTCACGATATTTAACCCTTCAATGGTGCAATTTTATTCCAGTGCATGATTAAAATTATGCGACGAACCAAATTACAAATAATTTAAATTACAAATAATGTAGTATAAATGTGAATTAAATTATAGCAAAACTTAATTTCAAAATCCAATAACTTTATTGCTACAATATTTGTTAATATAATAAACGTTATTAATTCACCATAAAAAAATTCAAGAAATGATTTCAATTTATAAAATATTTTCATAATAATGCAAAAATGTAGTAGTCATTTGACATTTTTATTCTAATAAGGAAAGAGTATTTTTAATTTTATTTTATGATTAGAATTTTTGATTTTATATATTACCCTAAACGTGGACATTTTCTGGAAGCGAGTATATTTGTTACGTAGTATTAAAGGATTAAATAATGAATTTTAATTTATTGTCTTCAAATTTTGAATCTCAGAACATTGGTTTGTCAAATGATTCATTTATGTCGAACAAGCATAAGAGAGTATACAAAAGGATGCTTTGTTCTCCAAAATGGCGGCAGCGTTTCTTAATCTTCATTACGCGTTTTTGTACACTTCTCTGTGAATGTATACGCGTATACATGTATTACATACTTTTGAACAACGTCACTATAAATAAATAAGAAAGTGTAAGTCTATGTAAAGTGTATTCTAAAAAGAAGCTTAACCTAATTGGATCTTTCTCCCGTGAAAGGATCTTCGTATTTCTGCACTACTGTAACTTTTCTTTTTAATTAAATCCATTAACTTTCAACTAAATTTTAAATTCTATTTCCAATTTATTCTACCGATTTTTGTTCAAAATTTTCACTTCGTTCGCATCTATTGTCAGCATATTTCGCATCGTTTAATATATTTCGAAAAAATGCTGCAGATAGTCGTGGAATATTCTAGTAACACTTGTACAGCATGCTTGTGGAGCAACCGTGTTGTGAAAAATGTATTACGATATAATATACCTCGTTTCTGAAAAATTTTTCAGATAAGATAGAAACTGTCTAGGAGTAAACTTTACCTAGAAATATAAGAACACGATTAGAAAATTTTATAGATCAATTATTACGATTTTTCCTACAGTGCAGCATGGAAGAATTCATTTCGATTGCGAGTATAACAATCATCTGTCTCCAGAGTGCACTTAATGATAGCGAAATTTATTGAGTGAAACGAGTATTCGTTCTTTTGAATAGGTAAAATTATTAATTAAAGGTAATAAGCTAATATGTATTTCACTGGATACTAATTTTGATAAATATTTCGCCACAAAATTTGTCAACTGACAATTCTTCCTCTGTAACAAAAGATGTATGAAGCTGAACACAAAATTAACCTATATTTGTTGTTTTAACTAGTTCTTTTGCGAGGTCTATATAAATGGATCTAGGTAGAATGTTTCGATATTCTTATCGATGATTTGTTAGAATCATTGAATTCCTTTGAGATTAGAACAGACTCAAAGGCAGAAAAATGATATTTTCCAATCTGGGACTGCACTGTTATCGAATAAAAATATTTTTTTTTTGAAAAAAAGTATTATATACAACATAATAGTAAGCAGATAAACGACTTATCAAAATTGCACACACATGTGAATGTTCAGAATTTTATAATTCACAAATGGCTTCTTGCAGTGAACGTACTTTTATCTGCATGTCTATAGCCTTCAAATGATAGTCTGTTTTTATCATTTTCACCAGCATCTCACATTTCTCTGTAATTAATTGACCTATATATACCTTGTATATGATATGTACAATTTTTAATTTTTTAAATGCAATATTATCATAAATAGATGTAAATGAGCAGCTAAATTATAATAGTGCATGTAATAATAAGTGGAGAAATGTGTCATGAATTAAATTCACAAGTGCAACCACATTATAATAGAAGCTTATCTATAGTTAGTGTAATCTTTTTGTACCAAACATGATCTACTTTTCCTTTTCGAGGTAAAATTTCCTATTTTTCAAAGGTGTTTACGATTTTCATTTTGAAATTGTAAAATAAAAAAAGAGAAAAGAACGAACCATTTAAAATTTTGTTGCATATAATATTCTTTTGTGTAACGATCTTGTATTTCTTTCTGCAGGAATGTTAAATAATTTGAATCTATAATAATGAATAATAATTGAATTAATATACAGAGTGTCTCAGCCTCCTTTAGATCAAACGTGGCTATAATTTATTAAAAATACGAAAGTAAATAGAAAATAAAAATTTATTGAAATTCGATAGGACTGCAACAAATTTACGATTATCGTGATAAAGAGTCTAATGATCAAAGTGATCGTGGGTTATTAATAATTTCTTTGCTGTTCATTGTTCCTGTCAATGCAAGACTGACAACTCTTCTATTGAGTCCACTCTGATTTTGTTCTACTTCATCGACTCATCTATTCTCCTTATCAATTTTCTATGTATATAAAATCTTATTTGATATAGATTTTCTTTCAAAGTAATCCAAAGATAAGAATCCAGTGATGTAAGATAAAATGATCTTGAAAGACGAAGTACTATTTCTTTTGTACCTCATATTCTTGTTATAACTTTCCAATGAACACTTATTAGATTATGCATTTTTTTCACGGCATTTTATATTTTTTACATAAAAGTGCCGTATCTATAAAATTTCTAGACTATGGTTATACGTTATAAACTATATTATCCGAATGATAATTAGAAACTTTAATAGTTAGAAGATAGAAAATTTAATGATTAGAACATCATATTCGCAAAATATATTTTAATAATTAGAAAATCACATTCACAAAAAGAAACTTTAATAATAATATCAGAAAATTTAATAATTAGAAAATCACATTCGCAAAAAAAACTTGAATAATTAGAAATTAGAAAATGTAATAATTAGAAAATCACATTCGCAAAACATACTTTAATAATTAGAAATTACAAAATTTAATAATTAGAACATCACATTCGCAGAAAGAAACTTTAATGGTAATATTAGAAGATTTAATAATTAGAAAATCATATTCGCAAAATTGAAAAATTATTTCTCACAAAATTTTCATATTGGAATACATGTAAGAAATTTATGACGTGGTCTGAAAGGGTCTGGATGTAGTGAGAGAGTTTCTCCCACTGTGGAGGAGAACCCAAAAATCCTGAATCAGTTGTTAACAAGAGAACCCTTCCTATAATACTCCCTAAAATGTTTCTAGAATAAAGTCTCTATTATATTATAAAGCACATATTATATTCATATCATCGCAGATGAGTTTCACTTATTCAACCTCATTCGCATTCACACATATAAAAACAACACTCACAGTGTGCCCCCCCTCCATAGTCTCGTCTTCATCTTACAGCTATAAAATTAGTATGAAGAATTTAATCCTCCACATTTCACCACTTTTTTCAACATTCTTCATATAAAAGCTCGTCAGACGTAGTACTGTGGCAAGATTTACTTGTCGCAGTAGGGAAGCTGATTCCACGGAACCTACCTACTCCTTCCTCCTCAAACTGGCTGAACTCGAAGTTAGCTACCGAGGAAGTGCATTTCTCACAACTGATTTTACTCGCAATCCTCTCTCAACTTTCTCTGTTATTTTTCGCGGCTTCGGAGCTGCTTATTCTAAGCTGAAAACCTTCCTTGTTACCAAATCTTGTTTGGTCTTCTCTCTTCTAACATCCTTCTTTACCTTCTCTCACTCACCAACTTCATTTACTTTCAGCGACTATGCCCTTTTCTTTTATTCAAACCGTCCTTTCACCTCATTGCGTATACGCGACACTGCTCGAGCTTTGCTTCTTTTTCTACGCCATTTATAAGCGTTCAGCTACTAATGGATATTTCATTTCATTCGTTTTTATTCTTGCGCCGCTTAAGTCCCCCGGACGCCATTTTTCCCCCAGTGCCAGGCGGCTGCTTATCGTTACCACGACGAAAATTCGATGAATATTTTTATATCGAGGCACTTTGAGCTTTCGATCGCTAATGACATCGACTTTCTTATTCTGTCGCATAGATTGGCCCTCGACTTAATTGGCGTTACGGAATTTATTTGCGAACTTAAATACCATTAGATTGTCGATTATTAAGTCTTCGCGAACGTGCATCTGTGGATGGTATCTCGAGAAATTCTTCCATTTATTCCCCTTTTATTATTCTTTTTCGTGCTTATATTTACCTCTTATTTCTCCACGTTTGTATTTATTCTCAATCTCGAGTTCTATAAATGTAGAACTGTAATTATGAAAATAATTCAATGATAAATCGTACACGTTTGGTTTCTAAATAATAGAAACTTTGCGATTGAATAGATTGAAAATGTAAAATTACCTCTTGTATTTATGTAGGGATATATTTTGATTGGCAAATATACGGAATAAAGGATGTTGTTAATTCCAATATATTTTATTTACCAGCTGAAAAGACTTAAGAGTAAAGATACAAACTAAAAGATTAAAGTAATTACGCAATCCACACTTGCACGTCAACTCTTCGAACTCTCACCGACTCGACTTTCTTTCAAACCTGGTATTGCACTTTCTCCAACAGGACTGTCCCAGGACAGCCCTTGCACCCTCGTTTAAACCTTGCACTCTGTCTTCTTTTATACTCGAGCTTTCTTCCTCAATCATTTCCCATAGCTTCGCTCCCGATGGACCACGTACCCTAAACGTTCAGGCGCCTTTCGCTCTTCACTTGCATTCCATACAGTCATAAATATTCCGTTCATCCGATCCTTGCACGCGATCACTCGTCCTTTCACGTGCACTTCAGACGTCGCTCTAAACATTCAGTCTGAACCCTAGGTTACTGCTTATTGCCCTTTCCTAGTGATTTTCTGGGTTTCAAATTTAAGGGATGTGGTAAGGGTAACACGAAGAAATACGGGTCAAAAACTTAAAAGCGTCTTGTCTCGAAAAATGTTTATTTCACACTGTAATCCCTGCTTATCTGCTCGAGTGTCTCTTAAGAATCCCTCACACGTCGAGTCATCGTTATCGATCGTTTATGAAAGGATCGAGAGTGCACGCGAGCGCAGAGGCCCATAAGGCCCATTGGACAATGACAGCCGAAGCCTATCAGTCATAGACTTACAAGATACGTTTGTCGATTATTTTCTACAATTCATTGTTTCGATCTTCGTTTGTGACTCTTACACTGTCCAAATTCTAAGGAATGAACGATATATTAATTCACAATAAAGGTGTGATTAGTGAAGAACTGTCAAAATTAATAGTAAATATGGTTTACGTATAATTACTGTATGCTCTTTCGTTATGGTAAAAATAGCAAAGAATAAAAGGAAAATGTTTAAAATGTGCAGCAAAATTTGATGCACAGTACTAATCATGTTAATAAATGAATTCAATATACCTCTAATGCCTGTTGTACCCCTAAATATACACCACTGTTGATACAGCACTGACTGCTTAAATAAGCGATCAGCGCCATCTATGATTTTAGACTCACAGAGTCGGAAAGTTAACAGGAATACATAATAAGCAAGGAGGTCGTCGAAGTGCTGGTCACGTGATAAACAAGAATAGAAAGCGATTAGAAAAGAATAAAATAAATTCGGCAGTGAAAAATCATTAATTACCAAGTTTCTGTAATTAATTCATGAACTTTTATAAGTGCATCGTAAAGTTGGAGTTTTAGGTAACATTCTTATATATTTTTCGTGCATAATTTGATGCTAATTAGTTTGTTATTAATATGTTAGTTGGATTCGGACGTGATTTGGTAAGAACGACCGCCATGATATTTTGTGAAAATATTTAATAATAAACGAAACTAGAAAAAAAATGTGATCAAAAGTAATATGAGAACATGCGCAAGAATATTATCTTCATAATGAGTACGTAAATTTCACTAATTAATTGCATAGGAAATAATAATTAATGAACATCTGTTAGTATGTTCGGTATCAATTCAAACACTCCATAGAATAATTATTAATAATTAATTAATTATTTTATTTCAAAAATTATATTAGAAAGTTCTTAAAGGATGCGCCTTCTCGGTACAATTATAAAAGTTCGCAAAATAATTGCAGAAATTGAGTATGTTGATAATTTTTCCTTTCTAGTCAATTTATCACGGAGTTCTGCCATTTCTAATTTGTGACGTCACTAAGAGATCTTCGACAACCTCTTTGCTCTTTCTGTGTTTCTATTAACTTTCCGGAGCTTCAAGTTCCAAAATAATAGATGGCGCTGACAAATGTCGCTTTTATCCTAGTGCCGTATCAACGGGTTGCATTGAGGGTACATTGAATTTATTTATTAACACGATTATATTAAAACGATGAATAAATGTCACTATTGTAAATACAAGGGAGAAATACATATATACTTATGTTGTTTATCTGTATAGTTATAATGGGTTGTATTTCTTTTTTTTTTTTTTTTGGTAGACTGTTATATGTAAACTCCATTCTACTCGGATCATGCATAGCTACGGCACTGCCGAGGCTAGAGAAGCGAGCAATGGCTGCGTGGCGATAAAACTCTGTATACACGTTACCGACAAATATTTTTCGATCTAATGGAATTGAAAACTGTTTTGACAATTTTGTTTCATAGTTCCTTCTTCAGAAATGCCTAGAGAATACGATACTTTGGAGCAAACTTCTGTCAGATAAAGAACTTTTTGTTGAAATCCATGAATAGTGCGTAGAAATTACATTTGGCATTTTATTTTTAATCTTTGATAAGCAAATATAGTTATTTAAAAGAACGAATAATTATAATTATGGACATTGAAACTCGAGATAATCTCACCTAACTTGTAAGGTAATAGTAAATCTCCTACATTCTTACTTTTTATGTAATACTTTATCGTACCTTTTTAGAAATCACATTTTTCGAAAATTGAGGGTGATAGAACAATTTCGATTACGGATTCGTGATCAGCAAAACAAACTCTAAAAGAATCACCTAATGGATATTACAGATTAGTGGCTAAGTTAGGAATTTTATATGTCAGTTATTAATTATTTTTATAAATGACTTTTATTTACAAATTGTATACAAATCTTTATATCATTATCATATAATTAAAATGTGTACAAAATACAATATAATGTACAAATTGCATTTTATATGTTGAGGAACTGATCATTTATTTAGAGTAATCAGTTCACTAAATAATTATTGTAATATTAATAAAATAGTATGAAAATATCAATACAAATATCAATACAAATTATTACCTTCACGGTACATTGCTTACTTAAATGATACTTAGTTCCTTTACGAAATATAAACATAAAATATAAAATAGTAACAAATTAATTATTAAACAATTTAAAGATATAAAATATTTTCGTAAAATTGAAGAAGATACTTGATATGCATGCAATGAATGATATTTTAATACAGTAATGAATATTACATAAAATACTATTTTATATTATGTACTATGTAACAAATTAAATATTTAGATCGGTATCGTTCATGAGAGCATCAATACCAAAACTAAATCGTTCATTCGTTATTGGTGAAATTTGTTTAAATCTTTCCTTGTTTTTGCAAACTATTCTTTGATCGAGAGGAACGTAAGCTTCACTTATGTCAGCAAATTCATCACGTAATTTATCAGGAATTACATTTCCTGAACATTGATTAGTCTCCATTTGAATATTGTCTGTCTTATCAAGTGTTTCCAAATTTTCAATATCTTTTTTATGTAAACTATTTTCATCCTTAAGTATTTGCACATCTTCTATAGTATTAAATTGGAAAACTCTTTGACTACATATATTATCGATTATTTCTGACATGTTTAAATCGTGATCATCGTTATCGCTATTAAAATCGTCTGGTGAAAGTTCATTAAACATTCTATCTAATGTATTATTTAATTTCGAATGAATATTTTCTACTTGTAATACTTTGTCAAACTGCAGACCGCGTTTTATTTTACCAGTTCTGCTGTGGCTTCCTTGTACATCATCTAGTTTCTTAGATCTTTTGGGTGTAATACTCATTCTTCCAAAACATTCTTCCAAAGACGTAGGATCATTTTTCGGAAGAAATTCATCTATTTTTCGATTATCTTTTTCATTCTTTTTTTGGCGTCTCTTCTCTGGTTTACGTTTACCATTTTTAGCATCTGTGCCATCTTGTGCTTTAGTTTTAATTCGACGTTTCTTTGCTTTCGCATTTCTTGCATTTTCAAATACTTCAACTAATTCTGGATAACATGTTTGTACAGCAGTTTGTGGTTCAATACTTGTTAACTCAGACAGAATATTTGTATCACTGTCGTCATTTTCATTACTTAATGCTATATATTCTTTTATTTTTTGTATTGTATTATTATCAGTTTTCCAAATAATTTCATAACTCGCAACAGATCTAATATTTCGAACCTTCTTTATTGCTTCAGGTATGTACAAATCAGGTATTCTTAGACGTTCTTCGGCGGAAATATTTGGAAGATGTATAAGTTGCCAACGAGTTATTAGAGGAAACATCTTTTCAAATGCATATTGCGGTTCCCACGATAAATGTCGTTCCATGAAATCCTAATATCAGTTAACACATAAAATAAATATAAATTTACTGTAAATAATTAAAACGATAATACAAAATACAATTTGTGAAAGCTTACTATAAATTTATTTATTTGTGGTTGTTTCCATTGAATGTCTATTTTCCTAGGTGTTGGGTCTTTCCTAATAAGAAATTCATCTATTAATTCTTGATTTGGAAAACCTTCAACACAAAGTGCCTTTTTCCGTAAAGCAATTTCATTTAATAATAACATTCTCTTTTCTCTAAAAAGTATACCATAAGAAATATAGATAAGTCTAGTTAATAGTATAATGAGTATAATACTATTATAAGTAAAAATATACCTAAAAGAATCATTGCACTTGACAGTGGTACCACAGTCTACACAACCCGATTTTGTATGCTTTTGCACTTTACCACTATGCCCACAAGATGAACATAAATTTGAATTTAATAATTCTGCTTCTTTGTGATCTAAACTAGTGTCCGTTTTCCAACTTTTTATTCTAAAACAAAGAAACAATAGCATTACATTGATATATAATAAATATTAAGTAAAAAATATTGTATTTTATATTTTATACCGTTCAAGAATATCTTCATCTTTTACAATTTTAAAAAGTTTCATAGCAGCTTCTTTGCCAACTCCACTGAGTCCATCATTGTAATCACAACCACATAATAAAGCTAATGCTATCATTTTATTTCTTCCTAATTCCAATATCTTTTCTATTTTTTCTATTGTGTATTCATCTATAGCACCACCTGTACCTCCACGATTTCCTTGTGCACTTGTACAAAAATTTCTATAAACTACTTTTGCTCCATATAGGAAACAATCACTATCTTGACTTATGCATCCATCAACAAGCTATGCAAATATTTATTAAAAGAAGAATTAATCACGATTCATATCTTTTTGTATACATTGATAAATAAGTATGTAATATTAAATATATTATTACTCCATCTTCATTTAAATAAGCACACATTGCTTCTGCTTCTCCTTGTCCTTGTACACATGTTAAACCCATGTATTGAAGCAATTCCTTGCACTGCTGAAGAATTCTATTAAATTGTGTTCTTCCTCCCTTGCGAGAAGATTTTTTCTCTTGAAGTCCAGAACGAACATCATTTCTTCTTGCAATTGTATTATGTTTCAACGTAGGTGCTTTCCCTTCTAATACAAATACTGGTGATATTCCTTGCATAAGGAGAAACACTGTACGAAAAAAGAGATTCCTGTAATAATTATTTGACTTCGTTTAGCTCTAAACTGAAGAAAGTAGTAAATATATCTAATGAAAATTTACAAACCTAAGATACATTTTTGGTTGTGCAGAATTATCTGATACTGCTTGGCTGTCTACAACCCAACAACTCAGATCAATCGCTACCGTCTTTCCTTGAAGTTCATACATTGGTTTTCTCTCACACAAAGGCGATAAAATATTCCAAAGATCTTTCACTCCCATTTTAAATACTTAATTTTAAACCAATGTTTATAAACACTTTCGGACAACGACCGTTTATTCTTAGGATTATGTAATACCACACGTGAAAGACATAAATCCCTATGTAGTAAAGTACATAAAGATGAGAATGGGAGCTCACATCAATAAAGTTGTACACATGAAAGTACTAATATAGTACGATAGTAGTACAACAATTTAATTATGAAAGAAATCTCATATGCATACGGTCCATTGTATACAAGAATATATAATTTACTAGAATTATACTAAAAATTATTTAACATTTTTTAAAGCAAAACATAGCATAAGAATATTTTCATTAGACCAATCCCAAAGTATTTTAGAATTATTTCCAACAATTAGTCGAACAATGCTTTATAAATATTAAACATATGTAAAATGCTGGTGTTAGCTAATACAAAGTAAATAAGAAAGTGCGTACTTAAATAGTTTACATATTATTCACAATTATTAAAAATATATAAGAACGGAGTTTGAGTTCGATATTTTAAATAGAAATTATATTAAATACATCATTTTAATTTTGGTATCTTACTGAGTATTTCCTATTTAAAAATTTCTTTCAATGTAATACACATATATTTTCTTAAAATAATATTTATTTATGATACAGCCATAGATGAAATATAAAATAGAGTTATCTAGTGTATTTTTCTTTATCCAATAACTTGGGTATTTATAATTACCATTTCAGTATCGCACCCAACGTTACCGATTCTTTATAGACGAGTCACAGCATCACTCGTGCTGGGAATTAAAACTAAATGTCACTATGAAGCAAAATATGATATAGGGTAGACTATCTTATAATCACAAAGTATAGAATTCTATACTGTAGTCGACTGTATAACACGGGTTCATACAACACGGATTCATATAACACGACGCAAAATTTGTGATAGTGTTCGTATAACACGATATATAAGTTCATGTTTTTACGGTACAGTGATATGTTACATTACAAGGAATACTTGGTGAGAACGATGTAGTGAGGTCATAAACTAGAACACTAAACTGCGATACCGATAGATGTAGCCGCACCCAGAACCTTGCCCGCCTGGTAAAATCACCTTGAATCTTAAGCTAAAAAATTCATTCGTCATTATCATTCGTTACTTTATGAAACCAACGGAATCAATCATGGAAAGAAATTTTTTATTTATCCGTGAAAACAAAGAACAAAACAAATAGTCAAATAAAATTTAATTTTTTTTTTTATAACAAAACAAGATTGAGCTGACTTAAATAACAAAATAACTAATGAATCGATATAATTTAAATTAACTATAATTAACTAAAGAACCAAAAAAGAGAAAATAAAAAATTACAAACCCAATTCAAATAAATTAAAATTTTTCGATCATTTTTACGTTCCAAAAACAATTCGTCCCCTTTCACCATGACTCCCATCGCAGATAGAAACACTAAGATGAGTAGAAAATGCATTTCTCTCGAGGAGAAAATCAAAATCCTGGACAGACTGAAATCAGGGGAGAAGGTGATAATAATTGCCAAGGATTTAAATCTAAACGAGGCGACAATTCGAACGATAAAACGAAACGAGGACAGGATAAGAGCCACGGTGTCTTCTGGATCACCCATCAGCTTGAACAGGACTGCCCGAATAAAGGACACTATAATGAACAAGATGGAGAAGTGTCTCATGCTGTGGATCGAGGATTGTCGATCAAGGAACACGCCTTTGAACAGCTACGTGATAAAGCAGAAAGCAATGAAGATCTACGATCACGTGAAGAATCTCGAAGGAGTCTCTTCCAACGAGTCGCACGATCGCGAGTTTAAGGCCAGCAAGGGTTGGTTCGACAGATTCAGGAGGCGGTTTTCCTTGAGGAACATGAAACTCGGTGGAGAGACCGCGTCAGCGGATATGGAGGCAGCTCAGAGGTTTCGGGAACACCTGGCCAAAGTTATCCAAGAAGGGAATTACACTGCGGACCAGGTGTACAACGCTGACGAGTTCACGTTATTTTGGAAGAAAATGCCGGAACGAACGTACCTTTCGAGGGACGAGGAATCTGTTTCGGGACTAAAGGCCTCTAAGGACAGAATCACGCTGCTGTTATGCTCGAACGCATCTGGAGACTTGGTCACCAAGCCAATGTTGATCAACCGCTCGATAAACCCACGTGCAATGAAAGGAATAGACAAGGCGACTCTACCTGTTTATTGGCAAGCAGACGACAAGGCGTGGGTTACAGGTGTCATCTTTAGCGATTGGTTTTACAATTGCTTCATCCCAGAGGTGCAAGACTACTCGAAGAGGAAAGGTATCGATTTCAAGGCTTTGTTGCTTATCAACAACGCGCCAGGACATCCGACAAATTTGAGTCACCCCGCTGTTAGAGTGGTTTTCCTACCACCTAACACCACGTCCATCCTGCAGCCACTGGACCAGGGGATAATAAGGACGTTTAAATCCTATTATATACGATACTCGTTCGAATTGATCTTGGAGAAAATTGGTCGTAGGCCCAATTCGGAGACAATCGCGCAGATATGGAAGGATTTTTCGATTCTAAACTGCATCGAGATCATTTCGTTGTCTCTGAAGGAGTTGAAACCTTCGATATTGAATGCCTGCTGGGAGAAGATCTGGCCAGAGGTCGTCAGGGTGAATTGTTTGGCCTCCACGACGAAGATGGATCATGTCATGAGCGTTGATCGAAGTTTAGCAGAAGATGTCACAGAATTAAATAACAGCGACCAAGACCTGGACGAAGAGGAATTGATACAACTGGCTGAGTTCGATTCCACTAGTACCAATCAGGAAAGTTCATTGGAAATTCCCAGTGTGCAAGATCGACATTTTAGTTTAAAGACGTTGAACGAGGGATTGGAGCTGGCTAGAAAACTGGAAGAATATTTTACGAATAACGATCCATCGAGAAATCGTTCTGATGAATTTAAGGAAAAATTACGGAATTGTTTAGTTCCGTATGTGGAATTGAAAAGAAGCTTGGAAAATAGGAAGAATGAATTCATGGAAAGGAGAGAAGATACTCGTTTGAAGGAAGAAAACAGCAGGGGCGAAGCAGGTGACTCTTCGATCTATGAGATAACAGAGCCGAGACGTAAGAGAAGAAGAAGCTTATCTGTGTACAGCAGTGACAGTGATTAAATTTCCAATTACGTGTAATTTTCTTATTTACGTCACGTGCAAGATGTAATAACGGAATATTTTTTACTGTTATATATGTGCCTATGATTACGAAAGTGGTCTGAGTTACTTATATTTGCTTCTGAAATATTCAAAGCTTCGGCCTTTAAATACGTCATAAAATATAAAATTAATTGCGGTAAAGCTACAAACTCAATCTAACGATTCAATTCTTCACTGTTTTAAAATAAATATATTTTATCGTAATATAAATGAATGCAACACGAAATAAATAATAAAATCGTTCCTGTTAAGTCGATGACTTAGACCACTTTCATAATTATAGGCATATATGTTTTTTCATCTTAACGAAATACAAAACTATTTCGGTATATCTTATATTTTCTGCATAATCCCTTGCATCTTTCCTAGGTATACGTTTTCAGATGTTACATTTATGCTCGTGTTATATTTATGTAATTTGTTATTAATGTTATAATGTAAAATGATTAATAAGGATTTTTGAAATAAAATAAAATAATATGAAATAATACTAACATCTTTCATTTCAATGTCCCTTTGTCCCGATGAAATACAAAATTATTTCGGTATTATATATTACATTTTTCCAATAATTCCTTGCATCTTTTATAAATATACGTTTTTGGATATTACACTTAGAATCGTGTTACATTATTATAATTTATTATTGTTAATTAAATTTATTTGAACAATGTTACAGAAAATAATGTTATTAATGATATAACATAATAATATTATTCATTTTTAATGATATTGAACGTCGGATTTTAATGTTGTTGTTTTACATTTCTGATAAGAAAGTATAAAGTAATATCATTAATATTGTTTGATATTATTTAGTATCATCGTTTAATGTCATTATTTTAAATTATATTAAAATGTATCTGATTATGTATCACAAAGATAGATGATCCTTATCTTTTCCGTATAATATTCCTGCATAAATGACATATTATGTTTTCTAATTTTTCAAGTCACTGGAATTACGCCATAATAGAATTTTGTAATTTTTATATAAATATAAAAATCACTATCTACGTACTACGTGTTACAAGATATTCTTGTAAAGTTTTCTTCAACAAATTTATGATAAAGAGAGATAATCCTATCGCTTTCATTTCTGATTTTTATTTTATTTAACGAACAGATACAGGAATGATCCTTATTTGAACAAAGAGAGAATACATTTTGTTCACTATAACTCGATACAATAAAAACCTTTTTATTTCCATAAATTTTCAACTTCCCAATCGAACAATATTTTGTTTTCCAACTTTTTATTCCATTCATCGAGTAATGGTGATTTTTGAAAAATAAAAATAAGGAACATGCCTGTAAATACACTCATCCTTCTCCATTTCTTTCTTTCTTTTTGTATAATTTTCTCACGGTTTATCGGTGTCTTCAAAAATCATACTTGATTATTTCCTCATTTTTGTGGTACTTTGTAATTATCATTTGTCGACTACAATAGCTTATTGTCACTTTATTTTGTTTCAAAGGAATGATATACAATATCATTTTATATCGATAAAAAGATAATAGGAGAAATCAGAGCAAACGTTCGTTGAAAAAAATCTTGATTTTATTATTATTTTAAGGACTTTCTAATCTAATTTTCAGGAGTAAATTTGAGTAAATTTTTTTTCTATTCAAAAATTTCTAGTCGTGTAACAATGCTTTTAAGAGAAATAGAAATTTTCTTGCAATAACATATATAAAATTTCTCTGTTTTGTTCATTTTTCAAAAAATAAAATTATTTTCAATAAATAAAATAATTTCATCGTGTTATATTACAAAAGATGAGTATCTAATGAATAGAATATTTACAGGTAGAATATTTATTTATAGAATTAATTAAATTCTTTTTCACATGACATTTCAATTATTTTAATTTTACTTGTTTTTTCATTGAACTCATCTAGAGATATACAGGTATCGTGACATAGATATTGTAACTTTCTCGAGAAAGGAACATGATATGATTAGAGATAGTAATGAACAATTGTTCACTTTATGAAATATCCAATTTTTCATTGCTAGATTTATCATGTCATCGATAAGTGATTAGTCGTGTATCGATAGGCTATTAAAAAATGTATAACGAATATAAAGAAGAAGACAGGTACGATCTGCACAATAGTACTATAGAAGGCATCACAAGAAATTGTGTCTACGGTGCTTTGTGAAGTAACAATGAATAGTAAGTTTAAATCATTCTTATAATTCTAATGAAGCAAAAGTGTGCATATTGCACAGAAAAATACGTAAACGAAAATCCCGTTCATTTTACAAATTTTATACAAATGTAAAATTTTATATTTTATGCAAGCTTATTTAATTTTAATAAATTTTTGTACAAGTTTTATTACAAACCCTGTTTCGAATGTTATACATCCTTAAATCTTCAAATCTGTATAATTATAATACTTAAAACAGGCAGTAAAAAATAAAAAAAATTCTTTCTTACGTATAATTTATCAAATATCGAATAATAAATCGAATGATAAATCAAAATTATTGAATAATAATAAATCTTGTCAAATAATGGGTTAATTGGTCTCCAATCTAATCGGCCTAACATACCTACTTCTGCACTACCAAATAGAAACTTCATTCGAAATGGAATAAATATAATAGACGTATTAAATGAGAATTAATAGGATGAAATCTGACTAATACGAAAATGAAAATTAGGAACGAACATAGCGGTCGTTACTTAATATCAAGATACTTTTGATATTTTTAATTTAATGCTAATCTAGTAAGTTGCAAGATGCAATAGTAATTAAGAACGTTTAATTATTTTAGCAATATTTGTGGCAACATTTGCCACACTTCTGGTGGCCTATGCGTCTGCCGGTAATCTACCTAAGTGTCCAAATGAAGATAAACTAGATATCAACCTATTACCGAATCCAGATGATTGCAGCACCTACTACGCTTGCAGCAATGGCGAACCATTCATAATGGTATGCAGTGAAGGACTTGAGTTCAACCCGGAGGATAAGGTGTGCGATTGGCCACTAGCGGAACCAAAATGTAATCGTCATCACCGGCCAGGATCACATCCTACAGGATTGCCTGGTTCTTCGAAACCACCACGTCCTACAGAATTGCCTGGTTCTTCGGCATCGTCTAATTCTTCGAGACCACCACGTCCTTCCAGACCAACACGTCCTTCCAGACCAACACGTCCTACAGAATTGCCTGGTTCTTCGGCATCGTCTAATTCTTCGAGACCACTACGTCCTTCCAGACCAACACGTCCTACAGAATTGCCTGGTTCTTCGGCATCGTCTAATTCTTCGAGACCACCACGTCCTTCCAGACCAACACATCCTACAAAATTGCCTGGTTCTTCGAGACCACCATGTGCTTCCAGACCAACACGCCCTACAGAATTGCCTGGTTCTTCAAGACCACCACGTCCTTCTAGACCAACACGCCCTACAGAATTGCCTGATTCTTCGAGACCACCACGTCCTACAGAATCATCTCCTGCAGAACCATCATCTGCAGAACCACCATCTGAAGAACCATCATCTCCTGCAGAACCATCATCTTCTGCAGAACCATCATCTACAGAACCATCATCTTCTGCAGAACCATCATCTGCAGAAACAACGTCTCCTGCAGAACCACCATCTACAGAACCATCAACTGCTTCCAGTACAATACAATCCAGTTCAATTTCCACAGGTTTTCGACCTGCTGTCACCAGCACAACCACCAGGACAACCGCTAGGACAACTAGAAGACCAATCATTATCTGGCCCACAAGATGGCCCTTCCCTATACACTTCCCTACGTTATGGCCACGACCTTCTACTCGTATAATCTCTAACGTGGCAGGTTAATAAGGGGTGCATTAGTAATTCAGGAGTAATCAAACACAATCTATACTAACCTACGTTACATGTATTATATATTATGTAATGTAATATATATATATATATCATGAAAGTTTGACGTGTAAAGCATAGATTATAATAAATCTTCATTATAATTGAATGTAATTCTTACATTTTGTTCGTCCTTTTGAATTAATAATATGAAAATAGAACGAAGGTATTTCATACTACGAGTTGAGAAATTGATTATTGATAATAATTAATCGAAAATTATAATGTGTAATTACTTTAAAAAATTCATAAGATGAATTAATGAAGGAAAGATGTACTATATGGGGATACAGGGTTGCAGGGTTAATGTTGCATAGAAAATTTTATCTGCTCGAATGCTGGTAATTGAACTGTAATAAGTACATACAATAGCTTATTCTAATCGTTAGTTATTACTTGACATGTATTATTTTCAAACAATGTTATTACAAGTTCGTTAAATGTAGAAACGTATATTCTGATGTCAAACTGATTGTATTGTATCGAAAGAAAAAGAAAAATATTATAATACAGAAATAGATCATTAATTCAATAAAGGAGTTCGTTTCATAGAGTAAATTAAAAATCAAAAGACTTAAATATTCATACAGATAAAGAGAGATTTGATAGGTGTTTTATATAATCGACGATAGGGATATATTATTGATAAAATTTAAAATAAGCACTTTTAATGAAGTTTAAAATATGGTAAAACAGGCTTATATATTTAAATAACATATGTTTAAATTATCATTCATAAAATTTGATTTATGGTTAATAATTTTATGATACATAATATCTTAATCCCATAATAATTAAATGTAAGAAGAAAATGAAAATATTTATTTCTATAAAAGTATAAATTTGCATTCATTAGTTATAGCTTGTTTTGAAACTCCCGCGTCTATAAATACCGAGATTTAGTTGCAATTATAAAACTAGCAATCGTACAAAAATGAATAAGTTGTATCGATTTGTCTATCTGTATCTATATATATATCAGTCTACATGTGTTATGTTTAAATATATTTAAATTGATATAATTTTCATTGAATATAGAAATCATAATGAAATTCAAACTGTATCGATAAGTAATATACTCTTAATATTACTCTGAAGACAGAAATTCTGTTACGCAATGCAAAAGTAATAATGATACGAAACATGTTGCTGAATTTGCTTGCGTTCTTTAGTACATAAACGCCCTCTATTACAAACGTAAAGTACTTACGTAGATGTGGCGGTATAGGTTAAATGTTTATAGTCTATGGTAGATTGACAGTGTTTTGCAATTCGTAGTTTAGTAATCTTTGGATGGCATTGTTTTCGTGCCGCGTGGTGCCAACGTCACTGGCAAACATGAGGGGTACTTCACGTAATGTGAAAAATCCATTATTATCAGCTGCTGGTGAAGGTTTTCCGTTTGAAAATTATGCAGAAAATACAATTTTGGTGCCTGTTACGCCTGCTGTACCTGCGATACTCTCCGATGGTGAGTCTGTTAACAAAACACCTGGGTGGGGCTCTCACGGACTTATATTTTCGTAGTGTTGTTGACACGTGACAGAATATGCGAATGACATTTATCATAAAACTAATCGAAATTACACACGTCTTTTTGTTAGCTTCTTTTTTTTATTTTCACACCGTTTCAAACATAATTTATATTTAAGTGATATCTGTGCATGCATATTGTTTGTTATATGTTGAATGCCAAATTTTTTTCACTATTCTGTTTGCTGCAACCTAGTCATGTTATTTATTGTACTTGTTTTTGTTATATTGCAAAAGAAGTGGATTTATTTATTGAGTTTTAATGATTTTTTTGAAATATTAACTTGTGCTACATTCAGTGGTGTATGTAATTGTATGTAATTGTATAATAAGCAGACTCAGTCTACATTCTTTGACCTTGAACATTTAAAATAAAAGAAAATGATATTAATTATATTTGTAACAGATTTTGTGTTCTAAATTATGGAGTATATGTTTTCTTAAAGTGTACATACTTTACAATTACATATAACCTCTTACAGATGATTTCAATATTAAAACCTTAAATATTATATATTATTAACTCAATAGTTTTATAATCATTAAATAAAGCCAGTATGATTGTATATAAAAATAAAATAACCTCCAAATTTATTAACAATTTATGTACATTTATTATAGATATATTCATTATAAATACAATTTAATTGTAATATTAAGTTATGTAATAACAAGAGTTATATGTTAAATGTATGTTATATTTTGATATACATTTTAATATAAATAAAAAAAATTAGAAATTCGTTCTTTCTGATTGCGTAGGTGGTCTAGATCCATATCGTTGTGTATAAGGCAAATCATGACTTTTTCTTCTTCGAATACAATATATGATTAATATTATAACCAAAACAATGAACAAGAAAGCTAACAATGCTCCCACTGTAATTGCTGCAATCTCTGCTTCTGATAAGTTATTCCAGGCTGAAAGGATTTATTACATACTTTTTTATTAAAAAAGATAAAAGGGATTTCTTTGTCGCTTTTCTTGGAAGGTGATGATAACTCAGAAATAAATTCATATGCAATAGACTTTTACATACATTATGTGATGCTCTTATTTATTCTATAAGTAAAGAATCTTATCAATAATAATGAAATTACCTGAGACATCTATTGTTATGGTATTGTAATTATCTAGTAAGTCTACTGCTGTAATTTTAACTGCTTTATCACAACATGTAGCAGAATAATAAAATGTCACCGGACTCCTTGTGCCACTAATAAATTCTGTATGTGGGTAAACATTGTTTACAGATGATATTATACGTTTTAAACCTGTTTAAAAAAATAAAAATTCTTTAATAGAGAAATCATTATCAACAAGAATATTTACTTTAAATCTCAATTGTTAAATAGTTTGTACTTTGTACATTAAACATGAATTTTCTAATAAGCAACGCCGACTAACATGTTAAAATAGTTAATGGTCTCTGCTAACACAAGTTGTATTATGTTACATTGTTTGAGGTATTTGAAAATTTAAAAAAGCAGTTTCTTGTTTTTTTAAATTTTTACAAGAAGTTAGTAAGTCGTTGAAAAAATATTCAGATTCCTATTAGTGTCAAAGTATAAGATAGTCCTTTGAACATTTGAGAGTGTGCACTGTAATATAATCAAATCTTAGAAGATATCAGGATATCGATATATTTTATAACCCTAATCTAGAATAATCTTAATAATAATTGTTAACAGTATTGAGTAGAACAGAAACATTTAAAAACTTTGATAACAAAGGCAGAATTAAAAGTGGTGTTTTTTTAATACCAATTATTTTATTCAAAAATTACTATTGTAATTATTAGATCTTTACATTATTTATTCATTTTTTAATGTTTTATATTTACTTCTAAAATAATCATTTACAACTTCTAAATTTCTGGCTCCTTTTTATAAATATATACATTTTTTATTTATTTATTATCTATTTATTATATTTTTATAATATTTTTATATGTATATAAAATTATAATCAAGTATAAATTATAATCAAGTTTTGAACACAATTTTGAATTAAATAATTGTTAGAATAGCAGCAAGCTGAATTTGTTACTAATTCGTTCGTACTAGTATTCAAGAAGAAAATATCTTTATTAATAGATGGCGCTCTGTTGAAAATTTGATTAATACCTGAATCATAGTCCTGAACTGTAATATCCACGCTCCAACGAGATTTGTAACATCGATCCTTGTCCAATTTTCCAGCGCAATTGTTATTGAAAGAATATTCAATAGTTGGTTTTACATCATCGGTTAACTAGATAGCGTACCATAATATTATGAAAATTATTATGAAATATGATATACAGAAAAATATAAATTTATTTATATTGATCCGAAAATTCCTGTTACATTTATGCAGCGGAAATAGTAGACGTAACAGTAATTTTATTCATAAATCCTAACTAATGAAAATTATATCCAAATTAACGTTATTTTCTAACTTCATTTAATACTTTATGAAGCTTCAGTAAAAAATGAAAAATATAGTCTATATTATATTATATTTTCAACTCCGAAATATAGATTGTCTATTCAAAA